TTAGGTTTATTTCGATTTTTTTTTTTGGTGGTTACAAGGTCAGTCGAATTGACCAATCCCATTTTGATATAGGGTAGACAAAATAACAAGATAAGCTATAACATTTTACTGAAAAAAAAACGTTTGAAATGTAAAGGAAATTTGAGATTGGTGAGATGAGGAAAAGTATTTTCAATTTTAACATGAAAATTACTTTGCATGCAGACTATTCAAAACAAATACTCAATAGATTCATGGACAAATCTTTACTTTATTTTTTTTTAAATACTTCACTAAAAAATATGATTTTTTGTATGTGAAAACCTTATAATATTAACTGAAAGACTGCCAAATTTCGTGAAGATATACATACTATATTAAAAGTTATAAGTACTAAATCTATAAATACTTTAAACAAGTATAAAAAGGTCACGTGGTCGGTCAAATTGACCTAGCCCATATTGAGAGTTATACATTTTTTAAACATACATCATACCTTACGCCATTTCTCAAGGCTTAAAATATTATGAGGTGCACAAAAATTTTGCCGAGGGGGTGCGCATCTCTGCCAGACACACTGTAATATGCTGCAAAGGGCACCATTGACTGGTTGTGAGAAGAAGAAGAAATAATAAAGGACAAGAAAGGAAAAAAACATTAAAAATTAACTATATGTGAAAAGGAGTGTGTCTGTGTTTTTTATAGCAAAGCCACATCAGGCTATCTGTGGTTTCCACCGAGGGGAATCAAACCCCTGATTTTAGCATTGTAAATCCATAGACTTACTGCTGTCCCAACTGCAATAATGTACAGCAGCAAGTTATAAAGGTATTGTTACATGTAGTAAAGGAAAGGCAGTCACAACAATTCATATCAGCAGTATATAAAGGTACAATTACATGTAATAAAGAAAAGGTGATCATAACAATGCACAGCAGCAGATTATAAAGGAGACAACATAAACTATATAATAAATTGAATTTGCTCTCATTACTACCATATTTTGTTGAAGATATCTCTCACAGAAAGATTCCAGTCTCCTATTTCGAGCTCTTAGGCCTGGGGTCTAGAGAAAAAGTGGTCAGAGAATATTTTTAATATAAGCTTTATGTAGAAGAATCGCACAAACATGTATCTTTATTTTATGCACAAGCAGTTAATTTACAAATACTATCACTGAATATAAATGTTGATTCAAGTTAAACAGTAACAAACAAAATCATTTTATACTACCTGACATATGGGAACAGAATATATCTGTTTTAGTGACAATGTACAAGAGGACAAAAGAAGAAACTCTGTAAAATAAAGGAATAATTTTAAATACAAAAAAACTGTGTGCAATTAATTTAAGTTATTGCTTGTTAATTAATACAAGTTTAAGGATAGTACGAAATAGCACAAAAGTAATTATATTTTATTAAATATTTTAAATTCAAAATACAGAATTGGCCAAAAGTAAATATGCAGTTACTTTACTGTGAGTGCACAACTGTACAGTTACTTTTGGTCAACCCTGTACAATTTAATCAGTGTATATTCATATGGAAGTACCTCAAGTATTTTCTTGGCTTGTTTAACTCGTCCACACTCAATAAAACAACATGCTAAATCATACAGTGTATTCATCTCCCCATGGACCTCTGAGCTCAGGTCCATAACTACATGCAAAGAAACAACAAAAATAAAGACTGAGACACTGTAAACATCATATTAATGCAAGTCTTCCAGTTTAATATTGCAATAGGCAAATATAACATACATTCTAGTTTATGGACCCATGTTCCATTAAATTAACATTAAGGGGACAATGAAAATTGAGGGACATTCTTAAGACATTGTTTTCATATTGAAAAAACTACTAAGGACGAATTATTATATTTAATTGATGGAATAGGATTGTGTTGGTACTATTTTGCTAGTTACTTTTACATTAAGCAAGTTATTTTAAACTTCTACAACACTTTTCAAGGATGTGACACATTAGACATATGTAAATTAACTGTACTCAACTTGGAACACCATGAGTGGATCACTAAGGCATTGATATTAACATCATAAGTAGTAGTTCAGAGGTTTTTTTGAGTTATATTAGTGCAATAATTTTGTAATTTGTCTTTAATGTAACCATGCTACAAATGCTCTTATCGTTTATTCACTGCCTTTTATGTGTAGGCATACAATAACAAGCCATAAACAACACAAAAAAATGTAAAAATACACATTTATATAGCCATGGTCAGTGTAGCTGTTGTTTAGTTGCTTTTTAATGGAGCTTGCCAATGTAATAGATAAAGTTTTAACCTCAATTTGGATCTATTAAGAATTGATGTTAGTAGCAATCTAATTGGTCAGAAGTGAAATGACTGTAGTCATATATATCAGAAAGACTTATTCAAAAAAGATTGTCAACTTATGGAAATTTGCATTTGACAGGCCAAAATGGCAGATGCACCAATATACTGTTTTCAAGGTAACAAACACATTTAAAAAATGGGTTTCCCCATGATCGTGCACTCTCATCACAAAACTTTACATACCTTACTATCCTATAGTGCATATATATTACCTATAAAATTTGTTGATTGTTCTAAGTTTTGATTTAAAACATTTTAAATCCAATTGAGGTCATGTGTTGAGTTGAGCCTCTGTTTCCTTTTGACCTACCAAGCCTATGTATAAATAGGGAGGGGTATTTTGCAACTGTCAATAAAGCAGAGATATATTCATATTCCAGTGCTCTTTTTATGATTGGTCAGCTATAAAGAGAGTATATATTGTGATTTTTTTCTGGGAAGATTCATTCTGAACTTTGAGAAAGGCAGACTTGGTTCCTGTCCTAAAGAAACCCAGGTTTGCTGAAGAAGTAACATTTTACTGTGCTCTTCAAGATGTTCATTGTTGCACTTCTTTTTCAACAGTTTCCATCTTAACTGCGATACCTTTTATCTAAATACAATTTATTATATTTAAATTCTACCACACAGTATAATGATCCTACAACTACTAGTTGATCAATTTCCTATTCCACATTGAAAACGAATGTTATTTATGCTTTGACTTCAACACCATGTCATCTCACTTTGACTTCATCCACAACAAATAACTACAACTGTCCTTCTGCATACGTGTATCAACAAACCTCGTTTTTTGGAAATTAAATGACTGTGAGCTACATTTATCCTTGGATTAGCACAATATGTCCTCCTAACAGCTTTTATAAATATCTTAACTACACTAATCTAGGAATATCTTATCAGGCCCCAACTGTGGTGGTTATCTTAACTACACTAATCTAGGAATATCTTATCAGGCCCCAACTGTGGTGGTTATCTTAACTACACTAATCTAGGAATATCTTATCAGGCCCCAACTGTGGTGGTTATCTCATAAGATGACCAAAAATAATAATAATTTGAAATTTAAAAAAAAAGTGTATTAAACAAACAGATTCTGATTAACTGGAAAATCCAAGCCTATTTATGGATAACATTATAGATCTCAAGATGGTAACAGAAAGAAATGTACATATCCCAGAAATTATAACCAAGGCAACAGATATCAACATGTGTGTATCAAACACTTCAATATCAATTTCCAACTCAACAAGAACACTCTGTCAACTGTTTTCATTATAATGAAATGTATCTTATACATTCAAAAAAGAGAAAAGAACCAAACAGACATATGTAATACTTGTAATTTGTTATTTAGTAAATTGATAAAACTGAAAATTAAAATATTATGACATCACAAACCATCTGATGTATATAATAACAATGACAGATAGGATAAAACAACACTTTTTAATTAGCTTACATATAAACTATATGTTTCATTATTTATATTCATATAATTGTCAGTTACTTTGGACCAAATATGTAAATTCTAGTTAATTCAAATCAAATGTATTCTGTGATACAACTTTTAAGCAATTATTACTGGTTTGTGAATAAACTATATCACTAATACACAAAATTCAAACAGTATAAAATCCCAAACCCTTTCAAAAGAGGATCAAACCTTTCTGTAAACTCTCTGTATCTTCCAGGTGAATTAACTTTCTGAAAAGTTCACCCTTCCATGGTGTTTGTTGATATCTTTTTGCTATTTCCTTAAATTCTTCAACAGCTGCAGGCAAGTTGTCACTGTAAGTTTAAAAAAAACACTATATATGTGACAGAATGTGATATTCCTCTGTGTCTAGTCTATGGAGACAAGAAAAAACCATGTAATGACACAATATTACATTCTTTTATGAAAACAAAGGAGTGAGCAATTTTTAACTAAAGAATTTGGATGATGAAAAAGAGAACTGGGAATTTTTGGACAAAATATTTACAATTAAATGGTTTGTTTGTTGAATTTCAACACAAAGCAACTTGATGGCTATCTACACAAAATTTTGTTTGTTTTTAAAAGTACAAAGCTACATAATGGGCTATCAGTGCTGGGCCCGCCACGACTATTGAACATCTATTTTTAACACATAATCCCTCAAGTTTATGGCGGATCCATTGGAAAGACAAACGAGGTGAACTAAAACAGTTTCTTTATTAGTAGACGTGGAATTATTTGGAAACACTGCTATTACAAACAAAAGAGATCACTATCAGTGGTGGTGACCTGTAACCTTAAATTCATTAAAAACTAACCAAATGACCTCTATCTCTATCACATCTTGGCCAAATATATTCATGACTTTTAAGAAACGTTACTGAAACAGATACAGATGTAAGAAAATGTCACCTCTAAACATACAGGTATAATAATCATAACAAATAAAAAAAATTATTCCCAGATGTCTAAAGGTCAAAATACAGAAAAAATGCATATATTTTTTATATGCAGACAGACACGTAAATTAAATTGAAAATAACCAGATCAGTGTAAGAACTTACTTATCAATGTGAACTTTCATTAATGGACCTAAGACCATGTTGGTTGGTGTTGTGAATGCACACTCAGTAACAACAGTATGGAACAACTCACGGGTATGGTCCACATTGCCTGTATTGGCAACTGCAGTTAACAACCGCCAAACATTTCTCTGTAGAAAATCTTTACTTTCTTTCACTCCAAAGTTGGAATAATGGTTTTTGATCATCTCCAGTGCCTCTATCATAAAAAAACAACACCTAATTCAACTACTTAATCTTTACTTTCTTTCACCACACACTTGGAACAATGGTTTTAGATAATCTCCAGTGTCTCTATTAATAAACAACACCTAATTCAACTACTTCACCTTTACTTTCTTTCACCACACACTTGGAACAATGGTTTTAGATAATCTCCAGTGTCTCTATTAACAAACGATACCTAATTCAACTACTTAATTTTTACTTTCTTTCCCCACACACTTGGAATAATGGTTTTAGATAATCTCCAGTGTCTCTATTAACAAATAACACCTAATTCAACTACTTAATCGAAAGAAAGTAAAGATTAAGTAGTTGAATTAGGTGTTATTCCAAGTGTGTGGTAGTGGTTTTAAATAATCTCCAGTTTCTCTATTAACAAACAACACCTAATTCAACTACTTAATCTTTACTTTCTTTCACCACACACTTGGAATAATGGTTTTAGACAAAAAGAACTGGGTAAAAGAACAAACCCAGCAAAAAAAAAGTCCCATAACAATTACTGCATGTTTAGCTCTAACCTAGATTTTCACTTAATATCTTTAAAAAAATTATGATCTATTTCCATTCTTAGTTAACTATATAGGACTGAAATGTAAAGAATACTTAATTTACATTAAACAGACTACTAATGAAACATTTTAAAGCATTTACAAGCTCTACAGGGACAATTTTCTATAACCTCTAATAAAACTGACTACTAACTAAACACTTTAAATCATATAGAAGTTCTACAGGACTAATTCCTAAAATTGTTAACTGCATACTTGCAAAACAATGAGAGTACATTCTGTGCATAAAACATTTTTAAAAATACCCAATATCTTCCTGTTTTGTAATTCAAATGCATGCAACAAAATCAGTTCCCACTACACATCTCAAAATTTTAACATCAACTAACCTTGATAATGGTTCCTTTCTATAAGCAATGTTGCAAGATTCAAAATCTTATGTGAGTCAATTGCAAAAGTTTTGTCTGTTTCATCTCTGGTACAAAAAAAAATCTCATTAACTTCTTAACATCTGGTAAAAATATAAACAAATAAACATTTTCCCATTGTAGAAAAACAAAATTTTTCATTATATTTTTATCTGTGATAACAACTTCTCACCTTTGGTAAAGTGTGTATAGACATGTTTATAGGCAACTGTAATAGATTTTAATGTGCATGTCAATGTGTCTTATTGACCACTGTAGCAGATCTAAATAATTAAGCAGATGTGTTTGCAGACTACTTTAGTAGTTATAAACGTGTGTGTGTAGATGTACTTACAGATTACTGTTATAGCTCTAAATATGTGAGTAGATGTGCTTACAGACTACTGTAGTAGCTCTACATGTGTGTGTGTGTAAATGTGCTTACAGACTACTGTAGTAGCTCTACATGTGTGTGTG